CAAATGAAGTCCAAAGTCAGTAGAAGAAAGGAAATAATAAAAATCAGAGCAGAAATAAATGAAATAGAGACTTAAAAAAAATAGAAAGGATCAATGAAAGTAAGAGCTGGTTCTTTGAAAAGATAAATAAAATTGACAAACTCTTAGCCAGACTCACTAAAAAAAAAGAGAGAAGACTCAAATAAATAAAATCAGAAATGAAAAAGAGAAATTACAATGGACACCATGGAAATATGAAGCATTATAAGAGAATACTATGAAAAGCTACAGGCCAAAAAATTGGATAACCTAGAAGCAATGGATAAATTCTTAGATTCATACAACCTCCCAAAATTGAATTGAAAAGAAATAGAGAAACCAAATAGAGCAATCACAAGTAAAGAGATTGAAACAGTAATCAAACACCTCCCAAAAATCAGGGGCTAGTTTGGTCACGTAGTGGTTAAGTTTGCACACTCCGCTTCGGTGGCCTGGGGTTTGTGGGTTCGGATCCTGAGCGTGGACCTACACACCGCTCATTAAGCCATGCTGTGGCGGCATTCCACATACCAAAAACAGAGGAAGATTGGCACGGATGTGAGCTCAGCGACACTCTTCCTCAAGCAAAAAGAGGGAGATTGGCAACAGATTTTAGCTCAGGGCCAAGCTTCCTCACCAAAAAAACAAAAACAAAAAACCTCTCAAAAAACAAAAGTCCAGGACCAGATGGCTTCCTTAGTGAATTCTACCAAACATTCAAAGAAGATGTAATACCTATCCTTCTCAAACTCTTCTGAAAAATTGAAGAGGATGGGATGCTTCCTAACTCATTTTATGAAGCCAACAATGCCCTTATACCAAAACCAGACAAGGATAACACAAAAAAGGAAAATTACAGGCCAGTATTGCTGAGAAACATAGATGGAAAAATCCTCAACAAAATATTAGCAAATTGAATACAAGAATACATGAAAAGGATTATACACCGCAATCAAGTGGGATTTATTCCAGGGATGTAGGGATGGCTCAACATCTGCAAAACAATCAGTGTGATACACCACATTAACAAAATGAGGAATAAAAATCACATGACCATCTCAATAGAGGCAGAGAAAGCAATTGACAAGATACAGCATCCAGTTATGATAAAAACTCTCAATAAAAGGTGTACAGAACAAAAGTACCTCAATAAAATATAGGCTATATATGACAAACCCA